TGCTTACAACTGAGCTATATAAATAGACAAAAAACAAATGATTGAGTAGTCATTTTTCATAAATTTTATGTAACTTTTGTCTGCTTGTATGACTCGGTTATAAACAAAACATTATCAATTGAATAATATTATACTTACACTGAGTTTTATAATTAAGTCATACAACTAGTCAAAAAACATAGGACAGAATAGTCATTTTACATGAATTTTGCAAAACTTCTTTCTAGTTGTATGATTCAGTTGCAAGCATACTAGCATAACATTACTCATTTTAATTATCTGATCCACTTAGGAATAATTATGTAAAGGACTCTTTTTTTTAGTGCGTAAATTAAATTATGACCTCTTCTTAATTAATTTAGTAGATAAGAGCATCTCCAAATGACTCTTTATATGACTCAAACTCTTTATTATAAAGAGTTTATCCATAAAAATAAGAGTCCAACAGACTCTTTATCTTTAAAATATAAACTATAGATTGAGTTTGTCTCTCTACATTTAGAGAGTCAAATTTTACTCTCTATCCTAATTTTAATTAATAAACTACAAGTTCCTACGCATTTTATTTATAAATTCTATCTCCCATTAAGTTTCTTTCTTAAAAATAAAGAGCATCTTCATTAAATTTAAAGAATCTACCGGATTTGAATAAAAATTGTGTTCTTTATATTTTAAAATTAATGAAGATATTCTTTATTTATATAAAAAATGCTCTTCAAAATAAATAGCACCATTGGAAATGCTCTAAGATCTTTCATTTAGTTATTTATTTATTTATATATTTTCATTCTAATTTTTTTTCACTCTAGCTAGGGAAAGTCACTCTAGTGCTAGAGTAAAAAGTTTTTAATTTAATTTATTTCATTTCTTATTTTTGTAATGTTAAAGTAACTCTTATGTATATTTACTATTTCTTATTAAAATCATTCTATTTTATTTCTTATTTTATTATAATATTAATTTACTTAATTTATTTGTTAGTTTAAAGAAATTTGACTACTGTTATGTCTTGTAGAACATGTTTGTAACCTTTGTGAGATAGTAATAATTGTGTTTTTCTTGTTTTTATTTTGCTTTCTTGGGGCTTGAGGTTGTAATATTAATTTTTGTTGTGTTAGTTTTAGTGTTTAGAAATAGTTTCGTGTCGTGTCACATTCGTGCAATGTCAAATTCTCTTAAGCTGAATCCAACCTGTTAGTTTACTGGGTCTAATTAAGTATGAAAATCACAACCCAAAAATTATTTGATTGTGTTATTCAAACTTGATCCATTGAACCTGTTAGGGCCAAAAAATGTTCTCAGCCTGAATAGGCCCAAAGACGAAGACACCTTCAACAAAGCTCAAAGCCAGCAATAGAGTTTGCATATCAGGTCCGTTCGGTACACCTATCCAGTTGCTCACCATTTGGACCCAATCAACAGGGGCCCGATTTGTTTAGGCCTCACCGCCAGTTTATCTGGGCCCAGGCCCTCTGATCCTAGACCACTGTCTGGACTTAAGATTTACTGGGAGCCCAAGGTTGCCTACTTACCTTGGTATTATCCGAACTATCGAAGAGGTCTATCTTACCCTAATTCATCTAAGATCTGTGTCTTAGACCCGTTAGGACTCTCTTTCCTACTGAGGTAAAGGAGCCAAAGGTTCTTCTTTTTACAAAACCTGAACTCTAAGGACTCTCAATCCCACCAGGATTCGAAGATCTTATAGTCGCTATTTAAAAAGGGGTCAACCCTTTCACAAGGGATAGAGATATTACACCTTCAGACCCCGCAGTTCCCACTTTTGAGAACTTCGCATCACATCCATAGTTATAGTCTCCGACTAGACTTCTGGTAATCTTCTCTTTCCCAAACCCTCACTAAATTAGCGTCACTTAGCCTTGCTGACTTGAGCGTCGGAGTGCCTATAGCAAACACCACCTTTTTGTTTTCCGTTTGCTTCACACTTGTTTTCTTGTGTGTGCAAGTACAATGGATTGTTAGTGGCTTCAACCTCACAAGATCAATCCTTATTTCCGTAAAGGTACATTTTTTTCATCTACATAACCTTCACCTAAGAATTTTCTAATTAAACAAATAAACATAATATATATCACTAAATTCCTATAAATAATTTAGTAATAGATTATTAAACTATATACAGAAACACATACATATTGAAATACATAAAATCCTTGTAATCATATATTAGACACTATTATTAATTTCTTTATCCAAACAATAGTAATAATATGAGAAAGAGTAATGCTACACATCTCTAGAGATTTCCAAAAGTTATCATTATAACTTATATGTCATCCTATCCAATATTCTCATATCATTTACCAAGTCAACATCAACCCAATATGACACATCATTTGGGAAAAAATTAAAAAAAAAAAATTAGGGATAACTCTTGGGATGTCTAGCATTATTGTATAATAAAATTCAAATTCAATACTAAAGTCTTATTCCCAAATTTGTCCCCCTTTGAAACCGTCACTGATAATTCATATTTCCACTAAAGTTACATCATTGAAAACATCTACGAAGTATTGATAAAGCATGACGCCATCACATCTTTACTTTAAATTTTATAAATTTAGAAGTAAAAAATTGCAAAGCAAAAATATTACACCTATATTGAATTTGAATATGACAAGTAAAGAATTTTATTAGTTGTTTATATTCAATACTAATGAGTTGACCAATATGACAAGGAAAGGCAAGTAGTGCTTGAGATAAAAGGAAATATGGGATAATCTTTCTTTTTTGGTAACCGGGGTGTCTGGGCTAGCTTATGCACATCTCAATTAATTCTCGATGTCCATTAAAGACCCTACAAGCCCAAAGGATCAGGTAAGTCATAAAGTAGTAGGTGGCCTCAAGGTTTGAATCTAGGACCTCAATGAAGAAAACAAACCCCTTTGACAGTCAGGCCAACCCCTTGGGGTTAATTATATGAGATAATCTTTCATATAGGGACTTATCTTACTAATGCCCATAATCATCTCTTTCCCTTTTGTTCTTGATCGATTACTTTGTTAGAGGCGAATCATACTAATTATAGGAAAGAAGATCTATTTCACCACAACATTATCCCTTGTAATAAGAAGTTGGATAAGGTAAAAAGAATTTTAGGGCTATTAAGAGATATTTTTCCATGTGAATAGTAACTCTTATCTCATTTAATGCCTACTAGAGTAAGAACCTTTCTATAGACATAATGGTAGGACTAAACTAATTTTATTACTATGAGGAGGTCATAACCTATTAGAGGTGTATTTACAAAAAATATTGTTTTGACTTATTTATCCTTAGTGTAAGTGGCATAGTGATAAAGTATGTACTATAATAATAATTAATTAGTGGAGCATGTCAAATTCAAGGTATAGACATTGATAAAAGAGATAGACATAGTTTCACATCAAGAAACTCTAAACATGCTTGAGAAACTAGAAATATTTTGGTTTTAACAAGAAGGTATCTATGCTAACGAGTTATCATGTACTCACAAATTCAAAGATGTTTTAACAACTCTAAACCATAAATCATTTTTTCTAATAACTTTATATAAATATTTTATTTTATCTTTTAAACCTTTGATATAACATAACATATAGTTCTTTTACAAAAGACAGATAATTATTACTACGTAGAGGTAAGTTCCTTAAGACGGGATTTAAAAAAATTATAATTTATTGTAATATAGTGTTTATTCCTATTTATAACTTGTCCAAATTGAGACCATAATTGTTTATGACTGCATGGAGGTTATTTCTATGAGTTAACAACATGTTTCCACCCAAAAAATGGCCCATTGACATTTTCCCACCCTCAAACTTTTAAAAGACCCTTTTACTACCCAAATATTAGGCTATCCTTTGATTTGGGTGGGAAACAAAGTGATTTACTGAAATAAATAAATAAATAAATAAATTCTCTTCTTTCTTCTCTTCCTAGCCTTTTCCATTGCTGACAATAGCAGATGGGGAGTGTTAGTGACCAGAAAATCAACAATCAAACATTACTCAATTGTATTTCAACCTGACAAACACAAAAATCATACGAATCAAACTCAATTAATCCAATTAAAACTCAAAAAACCCTAAGGTGGGGAAGCTTCAATCGCCTGTGATTGGTGAGCAAACAAGATCGAGAATGTTGGGGCTTTTGGAGAGAAAGATTTAGGTAGTTGATTGGTGGTGGCAGGGATGATTTTCAACATCGGAAATGACCAAAAATTGGCTCGGAAGTTGAAAGGTCATGCAGTTCATGGCCAGTGATCAACAAGCAAGGGATGGTGATAGAGGTAAGGGTTTTGTAGAGTGGTTGTGGGGGGTTGTGATGGTGGTGTTTAGGTGAATTTTTGGCAAAGAAATCGATCGGAAATCCGACTTGAAGAGTTGGTTGTGCGAATGGAGGTGGTGGTGGGAAATGGTGAGTGATAATGGCGAATGGAGGCATGGGATTTGTAGAGGAGGTGATGGGGATTCTCTAGGTGGTGTCGAAAATGATTTTGAACGCCGAGATCGGCTGAAACAAGACAAAAACCTGTTGGATCTAACATTGCTAACGTGTGCCATCTTCTGCTAACATGCACCATTCTTCTTCTCCGGTAGCCACTATTTGGTGACCATTGTGCCTTAATTAATTATGGGCTTTTGACCAATTTGCCCTTCTTGACAACAAAAACTACTAATAAAAATATGTTTTGGGTACTTAAATGGTATTTAAAATGTGGGTGGGTATGAATTTGTCAATGGATTATTTTTTGGGTGGGAACATGTCATTAACTCTTATTCCTATATAGAGAGAGTATCACTATAAAAAGGTTTTATTGTAATATCCAATTTATTGTTTGCTTAATCTACTTCATTTGTATTACAATCCCATGACTATTAGGAAAGTATATATAATGAACTTGGACATTCATCGGAAGATATTTACTTAATTGTTATTGTCAAACTCGGATGCCATAGATTTTTGAGCAACAAAATTAAAAAAAAAAAAAAATACACTTAATAAACAAATATTCTTATCACCAAAGGGTACTACAGCTTGCAAATGAAATTACAGGTTGGCAATTGTAAATACATGATACAACGACATCATATAGACTTAACAGAAAAACCTAAAGCGGAATGAGTACAATATATCCCTCAGAAGACTATACTGTGACGAATCAAATGCAAACAGGGGTAGAGATACAAATATAATACCAAGAATGAGGATTGCATTTGTTCTAGGGTGGTCATAAGCTGTATAAAAGCTTGATATGAAAGCTAGCATCATGGTTCCTATAGATATGAATAGCGTTAACAATCCCACCACCAACTTAAGCGGTAATGATATCAAAAAATCATTTTCTACGTAACGGGATGTAATAATAGATAAAAACATTAGGATTGAAATCAAAGAAGAAGATAACGCAATCACTTCTGCCATAGCAAAAATACGGAACTCAATATTCCTTCCTTCATTATCATTGTTACCTCCTCGTACAGGGAAAGCAGCTTGAAAAACCATTAAAGCAATGATTGCTGCAACAAGCATGCATTGACTAGCTATGCTCCTCATCCACTTTTCTCCGTCTTTCAGTAAGCCTGCATGTGTACTAGTGAAGAGCTCTCTAGGTGTTTTGCCTTCTGAATTCTTCAATTCTCTAAATGAAGGCATTACAAGCTTTTCAACATCCTATATCATTAATATGAATCATTAATTTTACACAAAGAAGTTGGTAGCTTCATTTTTTAATTATAAATTCATTACCATCGGAATTCAACTCTATCTTTAGTATTTGATTTTATTAAAAAAGTCACATTATAATCAGAAGATAATATTTTAATTAAAACTTTAATCAAGAGTCATCAATAATTTGTATTTTCTCCAAGTAAAGGTATAAAATAATGATAATTAAATAATAAGACACCAAATAAGCTCTAAAAATATTTACCTTAAAAATGCGTAACTCTCGCTGCATTTCTAGAGCTGCACCAGGCACCATGCTTAATGGTCTTGGATCTGGATATTTTGTAGCTAGATGTAATAAACTATTTTCCTTGCTCAGTGGTTTTCGATCTGGATATTTTGCAGCTAGATGTAATAAACTATTTTCATTGATGTCTGCATATGATGCTACCAAGTGTTTGTTGAAACCTATCTGATCTATTAACTTAAACAAATCATCATGACGATGTATAATCGCAATGTGAAATATGGTCCGTTCGTAATCATCTTTAAGATGAACCAAATCAGGATAAAGTTCGATGAGTTTACCCAAGATTTTGAAGTTCCCCAATTGAGCTGCTTTGAACAATAAATCACGATGCTCATTTAAGTAGTCCCAAACTTGGTCACGCTTTGCCTTGAATATCTTCTCCCAAAGGCATTCGACTAACGCTAGAGCTTGATTTAATAAAGTTGTTTTGTAACATTTGCTCTTTTGGTCCAACAGATGAAAGGGCGTTAAAGCCAACCGATGCAAGGGTGTCAAAAGATCGTCGCCATGCTCGTATTCAGTCATAGCCAATTCATTTTCATTATCATCACCTTCTAGCAGTTCCCTTGCAAGGTCTAAGAAATTCATCCAAATAATTTTAGCACATGTAGCCCACAATTTATAAAGCAAGGGCAGTATACATTACAAGTATATTGGAGGACTATTATGAATTACCTTTTCTAAATGATACAATATCTTCAAAATAATAAATAAATTTAAGATTAAAATCAAGCAAGAAAAGAAATACTTGAATACTTACCGTACAAAGTAGTATCGATGCTATCAAAAAATAATTGTTTTTTGTCAGCTAATGTCAGTGTTCCTCTATAATACTCCCGGTATAAATATGACGCCATTTCCCTTTCTCCAAACATAGCAGCTAGATTTAGTGGAGTCAAACTACGGCCACCTCGGATTGTCAACAGGTCTGGGTCGTTATTCAACATTTTCTCAGCAATTGATTTATTCCCAGCCATAACAGCAAAACAGAAGGCAGTGTTCCCTTTTGCGTTTTGCAACTTGAGATCATCTGGTGGTATCTCATCAATCATCTTCTCTACAAAGTCAGTTTGATTTGCCCCTGCTGCTACATGGAAAATAGTTTCATATTTCTCTGTTATTGCAACATTGAATGGGCTTGGTGATGAAGCGGCACTTAATGGGCTTGATGAAGAATCACTGAACAGTGGATTATTTAACTGACTTTTAACTGCATCAATATTTCCCTCTAGTGCAGCTTTAAGAAGAAACAAACGTAATTCTTCCTTTTCTGGGTTCCGATCTTCAAAATCAAAAAATAAATTGGATGAATATTACATATAAAATTAAAATATGTGTCCTTGTTTCCTGTTTTGAGAGAGAGCTAACCAGTCAACAAATGACGGGAAGGTAACCACTCAGTATTTGATTCCGATGATGACCTAGCTTCACTTCGTTCCAGATTTTGCTGCTGCCTATTATTATCTGTTGGAACTTCCGTCGATTCATTGGTTAGTTCAAGTGTCTCTCCCTTGAATTCTAATTGTTTTTACCAGTGCGAATGCTTATAAACGAAAACTGAAGCAAATCCTTATAAGTTCTACACGAATACATAAATTTCAATACATATATAAATTTTCAATTTTTTTTCTTCTCATGATCTCATCAAGGATACATGTGCAGATAAATCTCAAAGGTCACAAAAAGAGACACCATATATTTGTTTTTTCATTTGATCCCACCTACTTTCATTAGCAAATTAATGAGAAAGAAATCTAATAATAATAATAATTAATATCATATATTTACAGAAGTACAAATATCAAGCTACGCGTAACAAAGTCACAAACCACTTTGAATTACCCTTTCTTCTTCTTCTATATGTATTCTTAATAGTTAATAGGAATAATTACCTAATCCGATAACTGTATGAATCTTATTATCATTCTTTGTATGAATTGTATTTCAATTCAATAAAGTAAATTCCCTTACAGGGAAACTACAAACAAAACAATGCAAAAAGGGCAAAACTTTTGTGATTTTTTACCGAGTAAGTTAATCTTATTATCACGCCTATTTGTTATTTTATAAATTCCTTTTCGTTTTTCTGTTTTTCATGCTTGAAATTTGTGTTAAATATTTTCGGTAACCTTTTTTGATTTTACGTTCTCACAAAAATGTTTTATAAAATTTAGCCTTTAAAATAAAGAAAGAGAGAGCAATATTAAAGCCTTCTTAACTCTCTTTCACTAAAAGGCAGAGTTTATTAGCATCGCGTACCTACTTAAAATTGAATTACTTCAGCACTGCAACTTTTCCTTTCAATAGAGACATTTTGAGAATAAAGTTAGTAAAACATATGATTAAAAATATTTAGATTATTCATTTTTAAGAAAATATCTTGAAGAGAGGAACATCTTTTCATTTCCTTATTTTCAAAATACTATTTTTAGACAAACACATATCAAGTATATTTTCATTTATTGAACATATATAATTTAAATTAATTTTTTTAATATATTCAATATTTTCACAAAATACAAAACGAATTCATAAACAAATAGACTCTTAGGTAAAAAGAAGTATATGTGTGTGTATGTGTGTGTGTGTGTGTGTGTGTGTGTGTGTGTGTGTGTGTGAATGCTTGTTTATTATTATGAGAGAGAGCATACCAGTAGGCACAATATGACTCGTATTTGGTTTCAAAGATGATGGGGTAGCCTCACTTTGGTTCGTATCCTGCAGCGGCACATTAATAACTATTTCACCTTCCCATGATTCAGGAATTGATTTTCCATGTGTTGGCTCCATGTCTCTTGAATAAATGGGATTTATTTTTGTTATAAGACATGCTATAAATACACATTGTCAAATATAAATAGATACGTAAATGAAAAAAAATTTAAATGTAGACATCTTAAATTTTTTAAGACATATATATACAGAAAAGTCCTAAATGTTAGCAAATAGCACAGAAAAAAAAAATACAAAATAAATTCATAAACAAATAGACTCTTTGGTAAAAGATAAAATTTCACCTATGCTTATCAACTTATTTTTGTAGAGTACATCCATTCATTGATGAGTTGATGAACAAATATAAAATGATATGCGCAAATGAAAATTTTTATGACGGAAACATCTTAAAATTTATAAGACATAAGAACTTAAAATGGTAAGGCAGTCAGCTGCCAATAATTAATATTTAGTATTAGTACCCTAAGATTTAGAATCTTTTTTTTTTTTTTTTCGTTTAATATGTTAATATTTGGGAGTGGGAGTGGACTTCTAATTCAATTGGTTGACCAAACAAAAATGATTCACTATTGAACTTAAATTATATTGGAACGTAATAATATGAAATACAGACGTCTACTTTAAAGTTAGAAGTAGTGTTATACCTTGGTATTATCTATGAAGACGGTACAATACTCAACATATACAATACTAATGATTCCGAAAATCTGATGAGGGATACCTTAAGTAAAAAGTCGCAGGAAGAAATATCTGAACGGCGTTTTCGTAAGACTGAACTTTTACTACAGTGTACTCCAGTGTGCAATAAACTTTCAACACTCAAAAGTCTATATATATGCTGAGTGACGCGGGATAATACCTGTAAACCCCCTAATGTTTACCCTATAACCTTAGACCGCCTGGGGTATCAGGAATGACCATAAACCCCCAACTGTTACAATAAACGTTATCAATCCTGACATCTGACACAGGCAGAGGCAACAAATACCAATATTACCCTTCTCGTTAACTTTTTTTATATAATACTAAATATATTATTATTTAATATTTTCTTGTTACCCATTACAATTTTGTTTAAAAACAAAATAAAAAAATAAAAAATAGATTCCCAAACCCAACCCTCAAGCCACCCTCAACACTATCCTCACCTTCCTCTTGTCTTCTTCCTCCCCCACCGTCACCCTTAACCTCACCCATGCGCCACTCTCAGGGTTTATGGCTATTTCTGACACTAAGGGTTTAAAAGAATGGGGCAAACCTCAGAGGGCTAAGAGTATGAAATTTAACCTTGAATGACACCTAGACCCGGTATAAACATTTTAAGTTCAACTTATCATATATTGAAATGATAGTTAAGCAACTCAAAACCTTGACCTTAAAGATTAAATTATTACAATTATCCACTAAACCATAAGAGATTTATTATTAGTATCTTGCAATATAATATTTATAAATTATAAATGTAATTAAAAAAAGAAACTAATATTATGTTTAATATATTTAACATTTCTGTACATGTATTTGATATTTAAAAAGGTTAAATTTCAGATAATTAAAGTTCCATAAATATATTAGATAAGCCAAAATATTAAATATAATATGTTAAAAATTTCTTAAATATATTTGGTACTTGTTAATACTAAATTTAATTATCTGTAATATTTAAATATAATATTTATAATACTGAAAGCGTATAAATTTTAATATATTTATATTTAATACATGAGATTGCGTTGATAATCTAATCAAAAGACGACTACCATCCCCAATTTTTCTTGTCAAAATTTTTTTAATGTTTTTATTAAAAGTAATATTAAAATTTAAGTATCTTTTTACATAATTCAATAATATTGTAAATATAATATATTTTCTTAATTATGTATATGTTTTGTACCGGTAAAAATTAATATTTTTTTACACAAACTCAAACTATTATTTATAAGAATTGTAAATACACTAAATTAAATAATTTCCTTATTTTATTACTTTAATAGTTTGTAAAGGTTATGTTGCAATTAACTAACAAATTTCTTTAGCCTAATGGTCAAATACATTAGTTTAGATTATGAGTTCAAGTGTTTGAGTCATTTGAGTGCCATTAAATTTTATAAGGATAAAATGGTTATGTTTTCAATAAATCTATGGTAAATATGTAATCATGGTGATCAAACACGGTGTTTTATGCATCTTGACGTCAAAAATAAACAATATAGGGTCCAAGTGACTAGTTCTGAAGTTAATGGGGGTTTTCTGATATTTCAGTATTGTCAATCAATCAGCCGGTACTGGACAAATATGCAAGCATAATACACGCTGTACGTTATCTGTCCATGGACAAGAGACAAAGCTAACGGACAGTAAAAAAGACAAATTACTATTATTTGTAAAATCTTATACGCTGTAGCTACCTTGTTATTCGCGTCTTTAAATAAAATATTTTAGAATTTATTATATTTATTTTAATTATTAGGTATAACTAATACATTAACAAAAAAATTAATTCATAGAGTATTTGCAATTTTTGTGTTCATCTGTTGACACAACCGATCTAGTCAATTATTGATCACTCTTGTCTTGAGATTCCTTCCCCACGTAGCCGAAAGAACAAATATTGAAGGCAACTTCTGTTTTTTTGTTTCATTTTATATCTCTAAACACAGAGTTAGGTCTAACATTTTGTACCATTAGCTGTCATTTTTTATTTTTTTATTTTGTTGAGTACAACTTGTGCTTTTTTGTTTTATTTTATAAATCTTTTGTCCACTGGGTGATAAAATAGCTAATTTTAATTATATTTTTAAAAAATACTTTTGTTTTATAACAACCTAACAAAGAATTAATATAGTGCTTAATATTTATATATAGATTTTTTGTATCATTATACATTATTATTATTATTATTTTTTTTGTTTTCTTTTACTTTTATACTTTTTTTTTTTTTTTTGGGGGCGGGGGGGGGGGGGGGGGGGGGGGGGGGGAGGTTAGGGGCAAGAATGTGATATTATTTTTTATAATAGTTAAGGCTCGGATTTTCATTACTTTATTTGGGCCCAGGTATTAATTTTCTTTTAAAGACGGTTAGGCCCATAAATTAGTGCAAAAAATGTTATTGGCACAAGCCCAAAACCCATGGCCCAAAAAAAATAAATTAAAAGAAGGAAAAGGAAATTAGGATTTGAAGGGAGAAGGAAATGAGAAAGTGGTAGAGTTCGGCACAAACGGTGGGGAGGAAAATAAAGGAGAAAGAAGGGAAAAAAGGAAGAAAAGAAAAGAACAGAAAGTTGAACTGTATTTTCTTCTAACAGTTGAGAATTATTTTCAGCTTTACTACTTTCACACGTTATAAATTTTTACTTTAGATATTATTTACTTTTTTAAAGTTCTTTACTAGGCTAGACTGCTAGTTGCTTGCTCACCCCTGCTTTTCAGGTTTTTGGTTCGGTACATGGAAGGTAGCCCGTATACGTAGCTTCTTGTTTCTTTTTGGATATTTTGTATATTTCTTTTGAGAACCCACAATTATATGTTTTTCTATTTTCTATTTTTTCTTTTGTTCTACGGCAGAGGAGTGCCTGAGGCACTTTTTTTGTGGTTGAGTGTGGTAATTGGTTGACTGAAATGGACCAAAGGTCCTTATAGAGTGCTTTACGCCTGATTAATTGCAAGCATTGAGAAGTTCTGAAATTTGGGAATATTTAAATTATAGGGGAGACCACTGAATTTCTGTAAATTGTTTAGTTTTTGTACTGAAGTCTCTAATATTTTTCCTAATGGCTAATACTTTGACAGAATCCAAAATTTTTCACATCCCAAAGTTTGGGGCGTGACGATGATAATGTGTAGAATTAATCTATTAATTTATAAATATAATAATAATTTTTAACTAAAATTCAATATCACACATTTTATTCGATACCTTCAAAATTCTTTGCGATAACTGGACAATGGATTCTCTAATCTATAAGTAGAACTTACATGAGAAAGTCTCATCACCTTATCATTCTGTGGTGAGAGTGAGACTACCCAATAAAACGTTCTAGTATAAATGGCTGGAAAATAATTTGGAAGATTTACGGATTTAAAAAAAAAGTAATTTACTGGAATTGGGTAAAATTTAGAAGAGATAAGAGTGATTCAGTTTTGTGTGCTGAGTTAAAATCTATTACTTCAGGAAACTAACAAACAGATGGCTTACTTGGTGTTGGAGAAGGGAGAGAACGGTAAGAAGATGAGAGAGAATATAGGAATCGATGATAATTTAATTTTGTTGTGATGTGGCATTCTGATGACACACGTGGAAGTCAACTTGGAGTTGGTTGGTCAAAAGTAATTTGTTAAGACTTGAGGGGTAGTTCAGTCTTTTCTCTATGTTCTAAAACCTAAAACGAATTTAGGTTTTGTGCGCAGCTCACTTCTCTCATTTCTCTCTTGGTTAACAGAGAGAGAAACGGTTAGAGGTGCTGTGCTGGAAATCCAAGATCCGTCCATGGAATCAACGATGATGGTAGGTGTGAGTTGTCCTTCTTTTGTAGTCTTCTTTTCTTTGTATAAATATGTACTGATTTCTGCCTATTTGATGATGTATGAGTGGTGAGAGCATCTGGGTATACAGGTGTAAAATCAGAGGGTTTTGTATCGGGGTGATGCCTTGGTGTAAAAGGGGTGAGCCGATTCTTCTATAAGGTTTCTCAAACTCATAGTGAAGTTATTTTTCTGGTTGCTCTGAAGAGTGGATGTAGGTAATCTTTCAGATTACCGAACCACTATAAATCTGGTGTTATTCTTCTTATTTGCTTTACTGTATAATTGTTTTTCTCTTTTGTGCTTGTTTGGTTGAATGAACATACTAGACTACTACATGATTACATTTGTTTTGGGTCTTAATTACAACATATGGTATCAGAGCTTGGTTTTTCGAGTACCTAGGTTCCATTAATTCTAGGTTGTGAGATCCAATTTTTAAATCTGCAGTAATCTAGGGTTTCTATAGTTCTGTTTGCTACTTAGGGTTTTCGGCTAGTCTCTAAAATTTGGGGCTTTTAGTTTCTAAGTTACTAGGAAGGTTAGAAACTTAGAAATGTCTAAGTATGAACTAGAGAAGTTTACAAGAGATAACGATTATGGGTTATGGAAGATGAAAATGAGAGCTGTCTTATCAAGGATGGGTTGTCTGCTACCTTAGAGGGTGAGGAGAGTTTACCAGAGAGCTTGTCTGAAAAAGAAAAGAAAGAACTTCTAGATAAGGCTTACAGTTCTTTAATCCTAGGGCTAGGAGATAAAGTCCTAAGAGAGGTTAAGAAGATGAAAACACCAGTACAGATTTGGGAAAAATTAGACTCCCTATACCTGTCTAAGTCTTCACCAAATAGGTTAGTTTTAAAACAAAAATTTTTTAGTTTTAAAATGGATGAAAACAAGGTTTGGGTGACAACATAAATGATTTTAGGAAACTAATTCAAGACTTAGAAGTCTCAGTGTTACCATTGAAGATGAGGATCAAGCTGTAATTCTTCTGAATTCTCTTCCCAAAATTTTTTCAAATTTTGTTGATACTCTTAAGTATGGTAGACAACTCTAAAGCTAGATGAGTTTGTGGTACCATTACTACTAAGGATCTGAGTTTAGGAAGGAGGGTAAGTTAGATGGGAAGGCTGATGTCAGGGGCAGGTCTGAGAAAAAGGGGTTTAAGAAAGGTCATTTTAGAAACAGATCTAGTCAAAATCCAAGTTTGTCAGGAAGTGTTTCCACTGTCACAAAGAATGACACTTTAAAAGGGATTGTCCAGATAAAAG